ATTCATATATTTGGTGAAATAGTCTAGGTCTTTAATTTTTATCTTTCTGACATCTCATATTAACACTAATCTGAGACTCTAGCTGCATGAATCATGCTGTAAGGATTTTGATTTAGGATCTCTGTATCCCAGTAGCTGTTCCCTCTGATGGAAAGAGTAGTACAGGATTGAGTTCTGTCACAAACACTTCAGTCTCAGATTGTAATAACAGTTTTATCTAGGCTAAATGTTTCTGTAATTCCACCTAGTTCTATTTCTAGAAACAATTTAGAATTTACTATTTCTGTGAGAGTTAATTACAGAAATTATCTATTTTTATAAGCAGAAGGCCAAAAGATTTCCAGGGGCTTTCACCATTTAGAAAAGAATGAAGAAGGTCACAGGTGGTGATAATTCTGCTCCAGCAGGTCTTGGCCTCCACGTGGAATAAAGTTTATTTCTGATGATTCCTCTTTATACAGGAAAATGTTGCAGTCAGATTTTTTTACAGTTTCTGAGTACATCTGAAAGGTAATCTCTAATATATGATAACATTGGAGGGTGAGGAGGACAGAAAATGATTTCAGTTTCTCAGACTGCCGACTCCCTCATCAACAGAAAAGTTAAATGTCTGTAGAAGTCTGAAGATGACCAGATCCACATCTCTTCACAAATTGGAAAATTCTTAACTGCTCTTGTTTTTGAGACATTAGACCGTAAAATACAATGCAATCAGAAACTAATATTGCAGATAGATTGACATTCTTGAAAGTCTTTTTTCTCTGCAAGGTCTTCTTTTCTGTGACTCTATTACGTGTAGGCATTCATGTTCTTTAAGTGGTCTTACAGAATATACTTCATGTCTGAAGTACTTTCTGATAAGCTTATATGTCTTACGATTTCCGTTATGACATATAGACAAATAGCAGTACTACTTTCCACCACTAGTTTTTGTTCCAAACACCTCTAATTTGGACTAGCCTTCTGATGGTATAATAAACTTCTTCCTATTTTTGAAATTTAATGTATTTTTTGAATTCTCTGGTTCAAAGATACTACTGGCACTAGTTCTATGGCTCGAACTGTTTTTGTTATAAGAAATGATCACAGAGTGAGTGAGGAAAAGCAAGAGTAACCAAAGTAGTGCTCTCATCCAGAGATCAGTGGCCAGTTTCTCACCAAGGAAGCCCTACCAAAGCAATGGTGAACCAGCCCTTTATCTGACACAGTAGCATTGCTGGTTCTGAACTTTCAAGATGGGTATGTGCTCTGCTCTACTTGAACTATCACTGTGGCCAAGATGACTTATCACAGCTGTAAAGTCAACCATTTGCTTGGATACTTGTAAGAGAATATTCCATAAATTTATGCATAAAAGTTCTGACTCACTCTCTTCTTGCATGGCACCGGGTAAAACCCTGAATAATCTGTTCCACATCTGAAATTTTAATTAACATTTACATTTGGCTAAACTACTCCCAGAGCTTGTCCCGCTTATTTACTTCTTTGTTCTCTTTTTAAAGGTAAAATAAACGAATAAAACTATTCAGATGCACAGAAGATCCATGGAAAAAAGGGGCAACGGGGACAGATGATTGATTGTAAAAAATACATGCATAACTTAAAACAGGATCTCAAATGCTAAAGATGTCATCTTTTGGGGGTAAGCATCACAGGCATGCTGTTATCAGTGCTGGACTGAGAACATTAGAATGAAGACGGGAAAAGAAAGCAAAGAGAGTTTGGGAAAAACAGAACAGGAGAGTTTAAAAAGTACAAATAATATCTTTGAATCTTGGGACTGGTGACGTCTTTCATGAAACAATATACACTGTAAGTAATTTTTTTGTAATTTAACTTTGCCAGTGTATACCACAGGGATATGATTTAAATTATGCTTATTCTGTAGATTCAAGATTTTTATCCAGATTAAAATAAATCCCAAATCCTGTTTATCCAGTTCACGTATAATTATGTGGAACTGTTTTTATCAAAATACATTATGCAATGAAACATAATTAAAGAGATGTAAAAGTGAAGCAGAAGGGAATAAATAAATAAATAAAGTGTTCTCAGAGTATTTCACCTGCAGATCCTTAAAGCTAATTTCAAGTTCAGCCATTTCAAATGAACATAAACTGTTACCTTCTGGTTTTCTATATGAAGTGTAGGAGTTTGTTTAGGAAATCAAGTATATTTAGTCTTAGTGCAGTAATATTATTGAAGTTAAACGTCGAGTGGATTTTATTTTCTCCTTTCCTGAATTCTTAAGTGTGTTACTGATGAAAATTGAAAGTATCTTTTGAAATATATTCTCTAGTATTTTTCATATATATATGTCCGTGCGTGTGTGTACATTGCATGTATATATACGTAATGTGAATTATTCATGCATTTTATATTTCAAAGGAGAAAGAGGACTGAGTTTTTGAATTTCATTCAGTTTTCAGTCATGAAATTAAAAAGAAAGACATTCAGTCAAATTCTGCCTTCAGATATTTGCAAAAAACTCCCAGTAAATATTGGCAGAAATAAACACTTTGAGGACAGTATTAGCCCTTCGGTGTGTAAATGCAAATATTTCATGCAAAATTAAGTTAATACCACATGCAAGTCCATCTCATATGCACATGGCTGCTTATAGCCAAGAAAACTTCATTGGTGGTTGTGCTAACATGCAGATATGGTTTGAACTAAGAGCATTCACGCAAAGGAAAATGCAGAATGATCAGCATGGCAACCTTGTCAGAGTGACATTCCTACAGAACAATATCTAATGCAAACCAATATGCACATGACCTTTTTGGGCAGAGAAGCATGATTTGAGTTGTGGGGTAAAACAGTGATTAATAAACGTGGTTAGATTAGTATTTCTTAACATGTAATTTTTAGTAACCATTTTGCCCCACATCTGATTCTACTTGGATTATTTCCCTTTGCTATCTACCCCTTCATCATGCAAAAAGTTACAGTTAAAAATTAGAAAGCATTGAACAAGCTCTAAACCCGACAGATAACATGGATATTCTCCACACTTTATACTGGAATTAAATTTGATATAAATACCTCCTGCTCTTACCAGTGGGTGGTGTTATTCCATGTATTTAGGTATGAAGCAGACAGGAAAGAGATAAATCTTTCATAAGTACAATGTAAATCACACAATTCTTATATTATCCTTGCACTAAATGTAATATATTTAAACTCACTTTTAAGAAAATTAAGCAACTGCCATAAAACTTGAGGGATAGAATTGTGAACCGAATAAGAAATAAGATGTAACAAAAAGAGATACTAAACTTGATTTTTTTTTTCACATTTTATTTCAAACAAAGCCTCCATACTGCCTCACAATCATATTGCAGAATATGGGCTGTTTAATCCATTTAGTCACATTAACGACAAATCCAAAACTAATTCCAGTACACCAATTCCTGCATTATGCAAAGTTTAACCTGACAACATCCAGCTTTAGTCACTACGTCATGTGAAACAGGTGTTCTTAGTACATCCATTACTGCTAATGAGTTAGTTAAGGCATACATGATTTTGTAATATCTTCAGAAATAATTCAGTGAGCTACTTTAGGCTTAGGCTCCATTCACCTGCAGCTTAAGGGCCTGATCCTGCACAGTGCTGAGTACCCCACAATCTCATTGCCCTGCGAAGGAATTAGGGCCACTCGGTGCCGCGCAGGATAAAGCCACAGATGCTGCCTTCCACTGCCGTAATCCCCAGCAGAGGTTTATACAAGTATCCGTGTCCTGGGCTGGGCATCATGTCCCCTGGAGAGGACAGACCTGGAAGTGGGAGGTGAAGCCCAACGTATTATTTTGCTGTCTTACTTTTAAGATCTGCTTTACTTAATGGTAACCATGAAGTCAAGCTGTCAGTGGTTCAGCTTTAGAAGAGCTTTTAATCATGACCATTGTTTCTGTTTACTGCGTAAAAGTGTACCACTGACAGTCATTCACAAATGTATGTATAGATGCCACATGGAAGCTGTTTGAATTTATGTCAAAATTTTGGAGGTTTATTTCTAGTTAAATTGTTACAAAAAACGTATAGATTTTCTTGCTCTTGCTGTCTTTATGGAGAGCTCTGCAAAATCTCTATGACTCGAAATAGCTCTGGAAAGCATCCCTCTAGAGACACAGATTCACAGATCCTTAAGACACACAATGCTCTCAGTGTCCTCAAACCTCTGTCAGACTTTTCAAAAAAAATGTTGCTGTCTCCAGAATATAAATCTGAAATATCGCTGCTTACTTTTCATTAGCAGATTGTTATTCCTTTTTAGTTGGCCACATAATATATTTTTATATAAGGAGCGTTTACAGTTTTTTTTTATCAAGAACAGCAAATATGAGTGTTGTACTTCGCCACTTCCTAGAAATGAAATTCTATGGATTGCTAAGTGGTTAATAATACCATGTTGACTTTCAGCGCTGAATTATGTGTTTGTGAATGCAAGAGAACTACTGTTCAGATTATTATATTAGAACATTTCACTTTGAAACGAGCAACTAATCGACCTGTCTGCTCCTCTCTTCCACCCTACTCAATATACCTGCTCTAGATTACACAATAGGATTTTGAAAAAGAATTGATCTCTCTAGGATTTATAGAAGAGTAACTCTGTCGTTACCAACAAAGGTACTCTTGTTTGATACTGAAACTCGGAAATCAGGCCAAAGATCAAACAAAATTATGGAAGTGCTATCTCTGAAATAATAAACCTGTGTTTACTTTTTTCTTGCCTTAAGCTTATAACAGTCAACTGCACTTCTCAAGTTTTCCTCTACACAGTGAGCCCAGATTTCTGATACAGCTTGTAATAGTCAGTTAAATGTTTGGATGCCAAACTTGTAATGGCTTGGTTTCCAACAATTGCTATATATCCATCTTCTTAAGCTTGTACTTTTACAGCTCATAAATAATGAAGACTTACAATCTCTTTCTAAATTTTCATTCTTTTATCTATTCCACAATATCCGTGCCTGAAAAACAGAACAACATACCATGTTCATGTCAATGCCGTTGGTGTACGTCCACGCGTGCTGGAAGTATTCCTCAAGTCGCTGCCGCAGAGGGTTGGGGATTTGATGAAAGCGTATAAACTCCTTTACTCGCAGCATCTGCATGTGATATCGTGCAGTTCCCGAGTAGAGTCTTTGGATTATTGCAGATACGTTCCCAAAAATGCTAGCGTACATTAAGGCTGGATTAAATAGAAACAAAACTTACTTACATCATATCACCAGGGTTTGCAGATGATGCATCAGTTCTTATAATTTCTACACTCAGATGAGACTAGTAGCATTTTCATAGATGTGGAATTTATTTAATTGAGTATTTTACTGATTTGATAGTATCAGTGACAACTCAGTCAATAGATGAGGCTTAAATATTAAATTGTAATCAGGTTGGTAGCATTTACCTTTGGAGATTTGTAGTCCAGAATTTAGTGTCGTTAAGTTAAGCTCATCTAATTTTCCAGACTTTTGCAGAACTATGAACTAGCAACTAAGTTTAAGTAAAATTTAAAAACAAAGAGCAGAGTTACGAAGGCACGCACACATTCACAGGTTCAGAGTATAAATCATAGAATCATAGAATCGTAGACTGGCCTAGGTTGGAAGGGACCTTAGAGATCATCTCGTCCAACCTCCCTGTCATGGGCAGGGACGCCTCTCAACTAGATCAGGCTACTCAAGGCTCTGTTCAACTTGGCCCCCCGGGGGGGGGCCAGCCACAACGTCTTGGGCAATTTATTCCATAGTCTTGCCACCCTCGTACTGAAGAACTTCCTAAGATCCAGTCTAAATCTATTCTCCTTCAACTTAAACCCATTTCCCCTTGTCCTATTGCTGGATACTCTTGTAAAAAGTCCTTCCCCAGCTGTCCTGTAGGTTCCCTTCAGGTATTGGAAGGCAGCTATTAATGAAAATATAGAATGTAATTATGATCATCCAAAAATGAGGGGCTATCGTTTCCTAAACACACTCAAAATTCAGCTTCCTACCCTTTATAGGACTTGTTCACAGATACTGATATGCAACACAAACTTCTGACAGTTTTGTTAACAGATTTTGAGTAGTCAAGAAATTTGACTACTTCCTGACACTGCATGAGTCACGGCGTATTTTTGCATATAACATTGCTTTCCCTGGGAATTTGCCCTTCCGGCTGCACGCTTATAATCTTATTAGCTTAGGCTGTTAAGTCATTTGCTCAAAAACTGAGAAAAAAAAGAAAAGCAGTAATAAGATAAAACTACTTACAGCCAATCAACATGACACAGATGGAAAAGATTTTCTCTGAGTTGGTGTTTGGAGACACATTTCCAAATCCTACACTTGTCAGACTGCTGAAGGTAAAATAAAGTGCCGTAACATATTTGTCCTTGATAGATGGTCCAGAGCTTGCATCACTCTTGTTGTAATGTTTTCCTAGTTGTTCTCCTAAAGAATCCAACCAGCCAATTTTGTGAGCCAAGTAAGGTCTTTCTACATTTCCAATGGCATACCAAATGCAAGCAAGCCAGTGCGCAATTAGTGCAAATATGCACATAAGGAGCATCAGAACTGCAGCACCATATTCTGAGTATCTGTCCAATTTCCGCGCTACTCTCACCAAACGCAGTAGTCTAGCTGTCTTCAGAAGACCTATTAATGTTGTTGTCTGTAAAAATAAGATAGAAATTTATTTTCTCTGTTAGCAGATGTACTGTCATTAATAGTCAGATGAATAAACCAGTGCAAATTCCTTTATTTGGGGAATTGACAAAACCAGCAGATTAACCCATTTTAATGTAATCTTAATTTCCTCTTCTTTAAACTGTCAATTTTATTATAAAAACAGTGAAAAAACCAATAGTAAATGCACATTTTAAATTATGACATATTGAAGTTGTCATTATCTGCTGAATACTCTTTCATTTTGAATAGTATTCTTGACCTAAACTCTTTAATCCACCCTAATGGACTTAAATGATCCATTAGATTCATGATATTTTGGCACGATAAATTCCGTAAGCTATTGGAGCTACTCTTAGTTATATGACTAGCCTTGTGAATAACACAGATTTAAGACATTTGAAGAAAAGTGTGTGACTATATAGGATCCTAACTCAGAGACTCATTGCAGTACTCTGGCACACATTTTAGAAAAAAAGAAATGGCAGAAATATCTCAAAGAGTAAGTATCTTATTCTGCAAATATTCTTCCTGTTTGCAGTGGTCAGAATACACTACTCAGGTAAAAAGATGAACCACTGTGAACAGAAAATGGTGGAAAAGTTACTGTTGCCAGACTCCAGATAAGTCTTCTTTCTGTGTCTTTCATCCTGAAGTTTGCAGGTCTAGTGGTAGAAGCCGCTAATAAAAATAGTATAACACTAAAAAACCAAGTCAGTTACAAACTAGGAATATATTCCAAGCTTTTTAGAACAGACCTGCACTATGGTTCATGGTAGCCTCTTTGAGGCTTTGATCTTTTTAAAGGAATCTAAAGGTTATTAATGTAAATTTACAATTTTCCCTCAGTAAGTAATTTTCATACTTGTTAATTCCTTGTGAAATCAATTGACAACATTGTAAATAATAACTACTTGATTTAAAAGAACAAACATGTCAGCTACCTTTTTGTCTTCATTAAGTCTGAACACATATTAAAGTACTCAGTAAATGTCAAGACTAAATAAGTATTTAATAAGTTTTTTCCCTCTTTTTTTTTAACATGCATGTATATTACGTAACATTTAACTGGAAAAGTTTTCCAAGACTTACAAACCACTCTGGTGGCGGTATGGCTCACATTAAAGATTTCTTTCAAGAAGCACTAGACTTGTTTTTATGTTTTACTAAATCCTTGTATTCAGTTGTTTCTGAGTAAAATCACCAAATCCTTGGAACAAAAAAAAGAGAGGCTTTCTTGACTGCATTTGTCAGCAGACAGCTCAATACAATGTTCATATTTTTTGAGTAAATGATCAAGAGGATAAGGCAGGGTAACACTGGGTAACTATCCTTGGTTCAATTTAATATCATAGAGAACAATTTCAGGGTGAATTTCTCATTGCTGCATAAAGAAAGCTGTTTCACTTGTTATGACCTCAACAGTCTGAAAGATCATATCCTTGAAAAAATTATATATAAAGGTAAGCTTCCGCATGTGACTATTGCTTTAGGTTATTTTTTATTTTTCATTGTAAGTTGGATAAGGCTTAAATATTTACAATCCAGCAGTCTTAAGGAGAGCTAACATTTATTCTTACTGGGGTGTTGAAACCATTCTGTTATAGATGTAATCATATCTCTACACTATGCAAGAGGCAACTTATTCTTACAGTGATGTCAACTATTCCACTCCATTCTTAAGATAAGACTTCATTCCATTCTTGAGATAAGACTTCATACATCTCTTCGGTGTCAATCCCATGCTTAGATACTGCAACGGTGCAGACTCTGGAGTATACGGGAGATGTATAATACTCTTCAGGGTGAATTCAGCATGACTGAGATTAGATATGCTTTAAAGCATCAAGAAACTCATCCTTGGTTTGAATTTTCTTTTGTAGAGTGGAAAGGCTTTGTTACCAAAACACATCGGTTTTGGTGTGCCTTTACACACTGTCCACTTTTTAGTGCAGATATAGCCTTCAAATAGCAAACAGTCCACCTCCAGCGTGTAGCTTGGCCAGGGACAGAAGTACTTGGTGTCAGAACTACGCCTTGTGCAAGGTCATTTCCTTGGTGTGTACTTTTGCTCAGCACAGCACTCAAGGAGGCAGAGGTTGTACTCTGTCCATTGCCCACCTTACCCCGTCCAGTGCTAACAACTAATATCTGCAAGTAGCAGCCTGATAGATGCTTCTGTTTTCTCTGAATTGCTTGTGGCTCTGTTTTCATCATGCTTGGCTTTGTCAGCTGTACTACAAGTTCAAGAGTTCCTGTATACTCACATCAGGATTTTTTTTTTTAATTCCGTAGCAACATTTACTGTGAGCCAGCAACTCAGGAAACTCATAGCGATTGAAAATACAAAGCTGGATTGGTAGAAGATAGGCAGAGAATCATTTTCCCCCACTGTATTCTATTCAGTGCAAACTGCATTCCATTTACTCAAGACACTTGTTTGCCTAAACTGGAATTCATTAGGACTGTAGCACATATTCAGGTATTTTCAGAATCTAAAATACCTACAAGACATTGAAGAAATTTTTTCAATTGGTAAGATACATTAAAAACATGAAGGTTTTAAGGTAATATACATTTTAAATAGATTCTACCAAAACAGATTTTCTGCTTCCTCAGATTTACTTTTTCATTACAAATAAACAAAACAAAAGAGAAAAATAAAAAAGATCAGCTCAGGTTTCTCCACTGCACTGTTTATATATTCCAGTCTCCCAATCTAACATTTTGGTAACCAATATAGCCAACATAATTTTTGACATTTTTACCTTGCTTCATTACTGTGCTATCTGGACTTTCAAAACATTGGACTTTTTAAAACACTGAATTTATTTTACAAAATCCTTAACTATTACAAGGGAGTATCTTTAACTCTGATTAGTCCTCTTTTTTTAACACTTTATACATTTAATTTCTCAAGTCCGGATAATGAAATGACCACAGCAAGGGACTATTTTGATGGAGAGCGATTGATTACAGCATAATTTGAAAGAAGAAGTCTATCTGATTGCAGAGGGTATCATTCAGAAGTTATTACTGTATCAGACTGGAAGAGGGAGCTGGTGTCAGTTAATTATCTGCATAAGTGGTATTCTGCCAGTGCAAAAAGCCATCTGCGATTCATCACTTTCTCACTGATGGCCAAATCCTTAGGTTTCCTCTAGACTCTTGTTTATTTTTTTCCTTTCTTTCTTTCTTCATAACATCCGTTATCATTAATCTATAAATCTACAATGTCATCTCTTATTTGCATCTTTTTAAAACCAAATAATCCTCTGAAGCAGCTCAAACTGTCTCTTCTAATGTGCATTAATGTGCACTTCCTTACACAGTATTTCATCTGCTCTGGTCCTTTCCAGCTTCCTCATATTTTAAGGTCCTCGGTTTCTCAGTAATTTCCTGTCACCTACATTTTATGTTAGAATCATCATCAACCTCCTGTCTTTTTAGCAGCCTGTAAATAAATCTATTAAATACGAGCACTATAGCATCAAGCGTGTGAGTACTATAGCATCAAGTATAGTTAACTTTTTTGTTTCTCTTGGAATCTCTAATATATGCCAGAATTTGGCCTTTTAGTCTATGCTCCATTACCTTAATAGCCTCTTCTGAGCACTGTGTCATTGCTGAAGATCTTTATGCTGTATGCATCATGATACTGAAAATGTTAGTACAAATAGCAATTAAACAAAAACAAAAAACCAAAACTTCTTATTTATAGCAGGGTACTGGTACTTCAATTTCCATTGATAAAGAACTGCCAAAATTGTCAAAGAATAACTGCCTGCTCAAGTAGTGCTGGAGTTCCTCTTTGCTTCATCTTGAAAAAGAATCAAGGGAAGAAAAAGTTGATGCTAAATATTTCTCTGGTATTAGCCAGCCACTTAAATAATTTCCAAAGACTCTATTCAAACGCTGCATCATCCTGGACGGTACTCAGTCTGCCGACTGTCTAACGTAACAGCAGACTGTCTGCACCACCAGCTATGCAATCTTCTTCTTGAAATTAATTGCAACAGGTTTTCCAAGTAAATTGCTAAAGTGAGCATAAGAAACTGTGTTGTTCTCTTCCTAAGATGTTTTCTCAGCTTGATTTTCAAATATATTTTATTTGGAAGAGGGCAAAGTACTGAGTCTACTGGCAGAGATGCAGTCAGGGCTGTGAGGTTCAATCTCTAATCCAAGAGATGTGGGATTTTTCTTTTCAGTTTGCTTTAAAAGATACACTGCATAATGGAGTGAAGGTGTTAAAAAGAAGTGAAGAACAAGAGTACTTTGATGTATTTGTTTTTCTTTTCTGAGGCAGCCTTATTCCTGTTGATAGGCTTTTAAATTATATTCTGTAAAATAGTTCTAATCACTATTATTGGTAAATAATCAAACAGCAAAAGCAAAAGCCTTCATACTTCTGTGCATATTTCATCTGAATGTTTTCTGTGGCCTCAATGTAATAAAATTGTAAATATTAAAATTTTCTTGTTGAAGCTATTACCATCAGTTATGTGTTTTATTGCAGTAGATTCTACATGAAGGGAAGAAACTGTTTTTCTATATATCCATCTCATTTCTCCCTGCAATGTACCTGTCTTTGAAGTGAAAAGCTGATCAATAAATTAGAGAGCACATTGTTCTAAATACATATATCTAAAAATATCTAGTAATCTTAAGCAGCATTCCACTTTTATGTGCATATCATCTGTGTTCATGCTTAAAGGACCTGTGCCACTGCAACTTTTACTTGTTTAAAATCCAACCCAGACTCCTCAGCGGAGCAATTAAAAATAAAGTATCAAAAGAAGGGAAAGTAAAAAGTCCATCTATTCATTATTTTTATCTCCCCAGTTATAATGGATGCCACTTAACATTTACAATACACACAGAAAAAGAGAATGGTTTACTACCAGTCAGAATATTTTGTGTTGAGTCTGCTTAAATAGAAAATGAAATAATTTAAAATTATATTAGTTTCCTATTTTAGAAAATGGAAAGTTAATTGTCTTAGTCTGTTGCTTTCCTATACTTGACAGGGTACGTCTCAAATAGAAGCATTCAGAAAGTGCTGCATGTGGTATTTGGGTTATTATCTCCTCTGCTTTCCATACTCGGTTTGATACCACGGTGTTTTAAAGCCGAGTGAGCACATATAGAGCTCTACTTGGAGCTTATGTTGTTTAATAAAAAGGCTGTTCAATACAATTGTTCATAGGGGATCTTATCTGAAAAATCTCAAGATAACAAAGAAGAGCTATTCCACAAAAAAGCTAACCCCTATGACTGAAAAAAAAGTCTATTAAATGAAAAATGTTTCATTCTAGCATTTTTTTTCTTGCTAAACTATCAAAAAGGGATCACTGCGGAAAATTATAGTTAGCAATGTAGGAAGCAAAACTGCAGTAAATAGCAGCTTAGGAAAAAAGTGATTGATGTAGTCAGTACCTCAACTGGGAGAAATCACAGTGGCATGGCAAATCGGTCATATTCTGTACAGTTTTATTGATGCTTAGGTAAACAAACCAGTTTTTTCAGATAGTGAAACTGTTCATTTACTAGGCGTTGAGGGAATAAAGAAATACATGATCCAATAATTTCTGCTCCAAGTTCCATGGGTTTGTATCTGCATACTCACCTGCCAGAATGCACTTGTTTGCTACTAATCCGTACTTTCACATTAAAATTATCCCTTTAACATCTCTTTAGCACTTTACTCCTAAGGATGTCTGTAACAGGGCAAGCGTGGAAGAATGCTGCTCAGGGTCAAATCCAAAGAGCACTCCTTCAATGAACTTTGGAATTGGTCCCTGTTGCAATTCTTGACATTCCACATTTTCAATCACTGAACATAATTTTTGGCAGTGATGAGCGCTCAGTGATCGGAAAGGGATGCAGACCATACCTGGTGGGGAACTATTTCGTCTAAGTTAGAAGTAATGTCACTGTCAAATGTTTGTCTTTTACGTGTCTGTGCTATCAAAACCACAGAAAAAAGTCCGTAGAAAGACCAAGACCTATGGCAGATAATGAATGCAAACGGTGATGAAACCTTCTCTTGAATCTCTGAGCCTTTTAGTCACTTCCCGAACAGAAGCGTTCTCTTTTGGTAACAGAGCTATTGACATGCTCCCTCTGTCTTAAATGATACTCACTCTCCTTCTTGCATTCTATTAAAATTTATTTCTGCTGCATGCTACTACCTACATGTTTCTCCAGATTCCTCAGTTAACTTGAGAGGAATATCACTACTGATTAAGAATGTTACTATTGTTTTGCATGACTGCTGAATTAGACCATATTATTATCATTTTTCAGAAGCACAGGAGACAGGAAAACATTCTCATTATATAAAATTTAAGAAAATAAGTTTAAGCAAAGCATGACTAATATACATTCTACTTCTGAAACTTTTGAGAGTGACTATTCTCACAAGACTCTCAAGGTGCATATGGGTATGCACCAGTCGTTTTATAATGACCCTTAAAGGCATATTTAATGAAGTTTACATGTAATTTGTGAGGATGGCTAGGATATTCAGATCAGGCTTTTGAGGTGGGCATAAAAATATTTGCTGTTGCAGCAAATGACTTTAACAAAAGGAATTAATTTTAAAAGGAAAATGTTTTTGCATTCTCTGCATTGTGACGCAGACACCTGCTGTCAGATCAGTAAATTTTCATGCTAAAGGCTGCTGATTTATTTGTAGTTTTCACCTTTCTCTTCTCAATTAATGAGATGCACATATGGTCAACAAAAATGTTTCCTTTATGTCAAAAAAAAGATTTTTTTTAAGATTCGTGTAATTTGAAAAGTGAAGGGATCATATTTTACTTCGTTTGCTGTTTTTTTTTTTTTTAAACTGCACTATTCTACGCATCACAAAAACCCCCAATCCTCTACCTGTCACTTCACTTTTTGTCAAAAAATATAAGTTTAGCCCTTCTTAAATTAAATCAAATTCTTTGGAAGGAGGCAGAACTGGGTCAGGCATCCAGAACATAGTTTATGTTTTTTATACACCTTTGGGCAATTTTTGGATGTATATATCGAACACTTTTTTAACCTATTGTACAGATAGGATGAGGACATTGGCCATATCTGGCAAAGGTAATCCCATATAATATTTTAAATCTTTTTTTTTCTTTCTTTTGGTAGTCCTTATTCTTGATAAAAAAAGACAGCAGCCAAATCTTTGTGTCAGCTGGTATAGTTTACACTGCAACTCATCTGTTTTACACTGAGCAAACATCCAATCTAAAGATTTTGAATAGATGAAATTTATTTTAATGCATTAATGCCAACACAATACTTATAAGCACTGTGAGTTTTTACCAAACAAGTAGCAAATTGAAAGAGAAGTTCTTAAATAAAAGCATTTGAATAAATCCTTCATACACGGTATATTTATTTCTTTATTTGTTAAAAACAGCATCAAATATGGTATAACTGAAAAATACTAGCTGAATCATTCAACTTGTTCTGTCAGTGAAAGTTAATACTCTACATCATTCTACTAAGGAAGATTAATTTTAGTTTAACTTCAAAAAATGGGGCAGAATTATTAAATAGCCTATTAATTGACAAGCAAAAAAATAGATTAGGATAAACAGATTGTTGTAATAAAATTAAAACTCAAGATTTAAGGTTTCTTATTTATTTAAGCTTACCTCTTCAGAGCCAGAGCCAAAAATCAGCAGGTCAAAAGGTATTGCAGCAACCATGTCAATTAGGAACCAGCCTTTGAAGTAGTGAATTGCTATTTTTGCTGGGTCACTTACCACTTCTTCATTCTGGTTTACATATGTTGTTCTGAAGTTTATTAGAATGTCAATGATAAACATAATATCCACAATTAAGTCTACAACATTCAGTGGGCTGCAAGAATATCCACACTCTCTCCTCTTCCGTTCCTCACTGTCATTCAGAAGGAAGGCAGCAGAGTAAGGGGTGAATATGGCCGTGTATATTACCAGCAACAAAATGAGCCAGTCCCAGACGGCTTTGAAAGGACTATAGTGCAATATAGTAAACTTGTTGATGCGAGGTGTCTGGAGTTTATACTCTGGTAGAACATCAGCCCCTAAGGATAGAACCTAGAATAAGAAATACACCATGTCAATAATCTGGAAGTTCATTGTCATTGGCTTAAATTCACCACAAAAGAGTCTATAGTTCCAGTATGGCTAAAGGTGCGACAAAGAAGGGTGCTACAGAAGTATTACCTTTTGCTTCACTTCTGCTTTTGTCAATGTCTAAAGCTGGTTATCATTCCTTTAAAAATACGGATTTGTTATTTGTTGGCGTTATCTAAGTTGGATTTTGATTTTATTTGGAAGGGATTATGTTTGTAAGCACTGGTTGATTTGCTGGCTCTAGAAGCTGAAATGTTTGCTTTGTTGCAAAGAACAAACATAGTGTGGGCAGCAGATAAAACAAATTTCCTTGGCTGCTCCTGCAATCTGACCGCACTCTGACATGAAGGAACAAAACCTTTAAGGATAAGAAGGTAAATTATGTTTTTATCCCTATTTAATGCTCGGTGTAGTTATAGAGACTCAGCAATCATATTAATTATTGCCTTCTGTGCTGCAAGTGCTCTCCAAATCCTATGAGACTCATATCAACACTTCATTTTACACAAACCAGTGAACAAACATCAGATGGTGACAATCTTCAGTTACTACTCCTTTGGGCAAAAGAGATATTCAAGAAATTTTTTACCCATTTTCCACCTATTACTTCTACTTATTCCTTATTAACCTGCTAATTAAAAACAATGCTGTTTAGAAAATCAGGTATTTCAAAAATAATTAATACAAGTAATTATACTAAAACGAAATGACCGGAAGGAGAAATACCTTGTCAGTATTATTTTCCACTTTTATTTTGTTTTATTTTAGCAGTAAGCAGTTTGGGATTTGACATTACAGTTTGTTAAAGATTAAGAAATTTCATGCACCTCAGACGTAATCTTATAAGATTACAAGGGTCAACACGCTCCTTTCTGTTTAACTTTCCAAGAGCAATTGTGGTATAAACCTCAGATTCTATCCTTAGTAATCTAAGTAGCACTTCCTCTTCAGTGATATTCTGCTCCGAAAATATTGTGAGAACACCAGGGTTAATAATCACTTTTCTCCTTTGAACTGTGAAGAAAGAAATGATTAAGCCATCCAAACGATTATATGGTCTTTTCAAGCAGCCATTAAGCACCATGCTGAGGTGATGGTAGAGGCTGTTCATCTATTTTTGATACTGTAACCAGGACTTGCACTTAACTAATGGTGTTAGCTATTTTTTTATGCATTAAACACACCAGCTGACAGCAAGCTGAAGCACAGACATTGCTTAGTCTCTTAGGCAGTCTTAATACTTTCAGACCCCTCCTGGTGAGTTGACAAGAACGTTTTCCTAGTATTTGAGAGCAGTGTGAGTATATGTGCCAAGGAAAGTGCTATTTATAAAATTTATGTCAGCATTCTCCTGCTGGATTTACAGACAATGAAGGAAATGGATTAGACAACAAGAACAATAAAGCTTACTTCACACGTTTCTTGCAGTTACTTGAAAATTCCAGTCCGTGTAATTCACTTCAGAGGAACACATAATGTAAATTGGATTTATTCCTCTAAAATCTGGCTCCTAGTCTCACTTGAGTTACATTTATTCCTAGGCTGGTTTAGACTGAATTAAGTGAAATAAGAGTTAAAAAAAAAAAAGAAAATGCCAATTGGGCAAAACAACAGAACATCATCAGTGTAAAAGTGATCATAGCAGAAATGGACTTAACTTTTTCATACTATTTTCCTAGCAGGAAAATAGCTATTTTCCATGCTATTTTCCATGACAGGAGAGGCTGACTGGTAGTTGTGAGTTTCATATTCATAATGTGACACAGAACTTTACATTTCTGCATTGCTTACTCCCATGCAATGGGAAGTGAAAATAAACACTCATTCTGTAACTAATTCTGTTTGCTGGATCAAGACAAAGAACATGGGACTTTGTTTCTCTAAAAAATCCCAGTCACACAAATATATATTGGGTTTCATGTTGGCAGTTTCAATAGAGACTCACTGAATATGAGGTGAATTTATCCTTTTGCATTTGTGTGACATCCTCACAAGTCTTAGGTGCTGGTGTTGGCCAATCTTGGCCATCCTGACTAGATGGAAGCCTTCAGTATACTTAGCAATGCCCTCAAAAGACTTTACTATTTCCACTTGCTTAAAATAGACGTTGACAAATTCACCATTAGTGAAAAGGCATTTTATTGACTTATCTCTTCCAGACAGTGAAACTCTTCTTATAGTTTGAATTAGGAAACAGGTAGCTTAGGGAATTAAACGTTTTTAAGAGTAAGGAACAGCACTAGGAAAAGACTAAAGTATTGCAGCGTTAAAAAGTCTCTGGACCTTGAGACATGAGATGGTGAGAACGTTAGGCTTCTTGCATCTTACTAAAAAGAAGACTGTAATGCTAAGTAGCAAAAGTCATACTATCTGCAATGGGTTTTCTCTTTAAAAAAAGTGGGGCTATTCAGTTGTGATGAAATACCATCTCACACTGTTTTTGCTGGTGAAAGCAGAATGTATTTATAATTGGTGTGTTTTACAGGCAGTTTTAGGCAATAAGATTTATTCTGTTCATAAGGAGAACATTTCAAAGTTTAATAAACTGTATTGTATTTTGCCTTTGAGTAACGATCCCTGTTCTAAAATACAACTTATCCTGTGTGTTCCTGTTTATCCCGTTCATTGTTAAACCAGTGTTGCTTCAGGCTAGAAGACTCTTCACTCAAACACATTTTTTGACTCTGAGAATCTTGCTTCAGGTGTTTCACACAGATGAGGCTGGTGAACATCTTTTGCTCTTTTTAGGTTCGTATGTTCATTTTACAAGATCACAAGTTCAAGGTGGTGCTTATTATAGAAGGGCTGCAATCAGATACCCAGAAAAACATGGAATGAGATCTAAGTAACTGTTTTAAACTCACACTGTTTTGGACAGATTTATCTTTCTGAAGTGTTTAGTAGCTTTTAGTTTCTCTCTTTTCAGTTGTTCACTGATATTGAAAGAAAAAAAAAATAATGAAGAAGAATGAAAATTTATTACTGGCTGCTCTGTTAAGCCAAAGGAGTAAAGAAGTGGCACTATCAGGTGACAATGAACAACAACAACAACAATTCTGTAAGCTTTTATCTCTTTAAACTTGGTTAAACTGTTTGTGGTGGGTTTTTTTGACGGTTCTAACATTTTTTCCCTCATGAATATCTGTCTGGTACAGGGTAACATTTCTGCCCTGGGTTGTGTTTAAAAGACCTTGTTTTGCGTAGTGTTTCCTGGTGAAGTGTCAAGCAGCCAAACTGATGGCAGATGTGCTTTGCAGAACACAGGCTGTGCCCTTCACTGGTTCGTGTAGGAGACTCTCGTCAGAGGCTCTGCAGCATCACATGCAGCAACAGTGTTTGACACTTCTTGGAGAAACACAAAGATTCTTCCCCGTACAGTTTATTTTATAAAATGTAATGTGTCAGCAGAATGCAAGGCAAGATGTTGTATGATCTGGGAATTATAGTCTGGTCTCTACCATTGAGTTTCTCAGAGATCTTAGGAAAGCTGACTTTTAACTTCTCTAACTTCTGTCTAAGTAGAGAGAATAATATTTACCTACTAACCTGGAAGCATCTTGTAAAGCATAATGAATGAAAAGCATTTGTAAAAGCTGTTACACAACAGCAATGAGTTATCACCATTCTCACTCTTCTAAATTTAATTGATTCTTTTTCTTTTTCAGATGAAGTCACAAAAATATTTGTCCTCTTCTCCTTTTAATTTTGAATTTATAACTTAATGGGGACACTTTCCAGTTTATTTTCTATTTCCTGCATGAAAACATTTTATTTTTGCTATCTATTATGCAAACTGTACAGTTTCAAGAGACTCTGAGAGACCCATATTGCTATGGATCAGATGCATATTCATAAGTTTTGTTCTGAGGCATTTTCAATCTAAATTTATTAAAGAGTGCAAATACATACAGGAAAAACCAAAGAACTAGAAACAAAGTAAAGAAGCATAATAGTATATTAATAAATCATAACAGAAATAATAAATTATAAGCCATCTGTTATGGATAGCACCATAAATTGTTAAAGAAATAGTTCTGTCAAACCACTGCACGGATTTTCGGTGTGGTTTCCAAGCTGTTCTAGCACTGCATGAGAGCAAGTGTGGGGTGAGATTGTTACATGCTGGACCATGGCTCTTCCAGCAACCATAGAGCTACGGGAAGCACATGAAGGTGGAGAATGACCAGCAAGCATGTCTGATGCTTTCAAGAAACACCAGATTCATTCTGGGAGCACATTGTGATTGCATGGACTAGATGTTATAAGCGAGTTATTCAGAAAGCACTGGACTTTTTGCACTTCTGGTAAGAATCCACAGTATTTTTGTGCTCTATATTTTCAAACAGACAGCACATACATGATTAATGTGCCCTCACACAAACAATACGTAGCATATTCACAATCTATCAAGACTTTTCATCATGGACAGAAATAATGCACATACGGAAAATTTGAAGAAAAAACAATGTTTACAGGTGGCAAAATAAGAAGTATATGGAGGGAAGGAAACCCAACAATTGTTAGGTGGATGGATACTGAGTATATAGGTAGATATGTAAGTTTGAAGGGTGCAAAACTTAATAGATTAGATTTTCAGAAAGGTACTTTCCTGTATTTCATGACAGAGTGTGTCACATATGAACTGTATATTTAAATAATGGAGTTATATTCAGTACTAAGCACTGTTTTGTCACTGCTTTTTCCACAGATAAATTAAAGCAAAGTTTCTACCAACAAGGCTAAACATTTAATAAACATTTAATAAAGCTCAAGTACAAATATAGTCCAAAATTACTTGGGAACTTAAAGATAAACATTTATTTCACCCATAAAACATCTTGCATAAAACTGTGGAAGATGCTACCAGTCCACTCATTGAAATAAAGTGTTAAAAGTTTATAGGAAATACTATATGATATACTATTTGCCAGGTGCACAGCCCTGACAGATGGATGGGTGAT